ATTTATTTATTTTGGGGGCGGGTACTGGGGATTGAACTCATGACCTTGCGCTTTCAAGGCAGGCACAGTGCCACTCAGCTAAATCCCTGCCTGGACAATGATTTAATGATTCACTACATGCTAATTTGGAAGTGGTATGTCTGAGTAATAAACTGTTTAAGCTTTCTTTAGTTTTTCTGGGTAAATACTAAAGCAGCCATAAAGAAAATATACTGACCTTGACCTGTTAGTAATGTCCTTCAGTCGCACAGGATTAAGCACAACTAGCTGCTGAGTGTGCTTAATTTGTTTGTTGAACACGTGCCAAGGGCTGGGCCCTGCATAGTACAGAGATAAACAGCTCAAGGCTGCTCTGCTCCAGAAGCTGCAGTTGTAGCAGCCCTGAGCTATGTGTATCACAGGAGGTGGGCACCCTGCAGTACAGTTGCATCTGGAAGTGCCGAAGTAATGTAGAGAAGCTTGGTTGGTATTTTTATCTTGCCAGCTTTGCCAGCTCACCTGCACTTGCGCTGTACAATCTGTGGTTGTTTTATTTTTATTTTTTTATCTGCACTGTACAATATGAAAGTGATAGCACACTGTTGACACCTTGCCTCAGGAAATCTCTTAATACTTACAGGTGATAGATACCATACACCTTTGTGTGTGTGTGTGTGAGAGAGAGAGAGAGAGAGAGAGAGAGAGATATGAGACACCTATATAAGGTGTGCTTGAAGCCACCAGAGCCTGTATTCTGACTACTTATTTATTTTTAAGTACCAAAATGGTTTCTTTTGGGGGGGGTACATTTTTGGGGAGATCGAACTCAGGACCTTTCGCTTGAGAGGCAGGCAGCGGCACCACTGAGCTAAATCCCTGGTCTACTTGTTTATTATTTTTGTTTCATTTTGTCTGTCTGTTGATACTGGGGATTGAACCCAGGGCCTTCACACTGAGCTAATTTATTTATTTTTGAGACAAGGTCTCACTAAGTTGCAGAGGATTAAAGTTGTAGTCCTCTTGCCTCAGCCTCCCAGAGTGCTGGATTAGAGATTGTGCCACTATGCCCCACTATTTTTTTTTTTTTTTTTTTTTTTTTTTTTTTTTTCTTGCCACTGATTCAACTCAGGACCCTTGTGCTTGCAAGGCAGGTGAGGGAACCACTGAGCCAAATCCCCAGCCCCTGGTTATTCCTTTTTTTTTTATTCCTGGGATCCACCTTGGGCCTTGTGCTTGCAAGGCAGGCATGGCACCACTGAGCTAAATCCCTGGCCCAGCCTTGGTTATTCTTAATTGATCTATAGAGGAATTTTTTATTAGAGCTTTGAATTCATGTTATTTGGATGGTATATTCTCACTGTTTTTTTTTTTTTTTTTTTTTTTTTTTTTTGTGTGTGTTTTCTTTTTGAGACAGGGTCTCACTATGCAGTTGAGACTGACCTGGAACTCACTATGTAGCCCAGGCTGGTTTTCGAACTCACAGTGATCCTCGTGCCTCAGCCTCCCAAGTGCTGGGAATACAGGCATGCGCCACCGTGCCTGGCTTGTTCTCATTGTTTTTAAAGGGGCTTGAAGGTGTTCTTTTGAGACAGGGTCTAGCTGTGTAGTTCAGGCTGGCCTTGTTGAAGTCCTAGTGATCCTCCTGCGTCAGCCTCCTGAGTGCTGGGATTATTTATAAGCATGTGTCATCATGCCTGGCTGGAGTTGGATTTTTTTAAAAATGTATTTTTTGGAAAGAAGCAGCAGAACTTCAAATTTCAAATGTGTTTTGTAACTAATACCCATTTAAATTATTCTTGGACATTATTTCCTCCTTGCTCAAAGCAGTTTGTACTGAGCAGGGAGGATGGAAGTGGAATAGGTTTTGTTCCACTCTGGGCAGTTGGTGCTAAGATGAGGAGGATGGTGACTTAGAGACTAGAGAAATGACTGTTACCTTAATCTGGAGGAGAGGTGGTGATGGGACCTCAGAGATGTGAAATACTGCTTGTAACATTCGTGTTTCCTTACAGTTTATGCCTGCAAGCTCTCAGATCGAGAACATCCTCTCTACCTGCGTTTGGTAGCAGGGCCCAGAACCGACTTGCTTAGTTTTGTTCTTCGTGAACATGAAATTGGAGAGGTAAGTGATTCTCCATTATGGCTGTAAGAACAGCTGGCCTTGTTTTATTGCTGTAGTCTAGAGACCTGACCAGAAAGGCGGAAAGAGGAAAGGTAAGTGGAAAAAAGGAAGAGGGAGACTTCAGATTGTCCAAAATGAGCCCAAAGTTAATTTAGAGTGTAATTCTCCCACAATATTATATTGGTCTACATTTCAGAGGTGGAAGAAAGTAAAACTTTTTATTTATCTCCACTTAGTCATTTTAGCCTTATCCCACTCACTACCAGATGACTAACTGTACTTTCAAAGTTGGCGCTCTCCATATGTCTGCTACTAAGAAAAATCTCCAGGCTAATTTTGTACTAAAGGGAATAAAAGGAAATTTGATCTCTTTACCACCATTTAACTTTCTACAGTCTATTCCTTTGTCTAGTCAAATGATTGAGAAATTAGGTTTACATATACATTGTTTGCCATTTTCTTTCCAGGGAGGATTCTATTTAGGCCCGTTTAGTGGAAGAAAAAAGCTCTTTGGACTGTCCTCTAGATCCAGTGTCAAATTTAAATGACATTTAAGAAGCACTTCTTCTCAGGCTCTGGGCCCCAGCCTTCTGTCGAGAACAGAAATAGTGTGAAGTGTCCATGCAGAATGGGGTTTCTAGGTTAAATGTTAGAAACCAGGACTCTGCTTCTGGCTGTTTGTTAGATTTGGATTGTCACCTCTGGTGAATCTTCTAATTGTTCAGTGTTCCATGTAAAGTGGACTAAAAACTTTAAAAGGTGGTTTTTAGTCACATATGAGAGTGCACATAAATATGATAAGCAGTATAAAGTGTAAATGAGAATTTGTTCGGGGAATCTTAGGATGATAGTGATTTGAGTTTTGAAACTTGGTAAGAAATCTAGGCTCTCATTCTGGGAAGAAGGTAGTTCAGAAGTCTCATTGGGTTTTGTACTTTGGAAGTATAAGAATCCTGAGAAACCTGAGCTAGACATGTTAGCGTGCCTTTTGTCAGTGTTTTATTTTTCTTGTTTTTGGACTTCTAGCATTTCACATAATGCAGTGTGATTAGAGTAGCCTTGTGGGGAGGAATCAGTTTTGAAATTATCATTTTGTTTTAATGTTCCAGAGTGCTTTGTTGGACCTATGTCTGGGCTCTTGATTCTCATTTATTAAAGGAAACAGCGGAGGGAAGAAACTTTCTACAGCTGCTAGGGCTAGGAGGGGAGGTGTTTTTTAATGTCTGTACTTAGAAAACGTTCACACATGTGAAAAAATGTTAGAATTTTTATAATTAAGAGAATTTTCTAAGGTAGAAAGTTGTGCTGTCTTACATGTTTCTCATTTGCTTTAATAACTCTTGAAGAAGCCTTCTGTCATTTGGCCCGCTTGTTTTTTGTTTTGTTTTGTTTTGTTTTCCCCATGCTTTTCTTTATGGATTAATGTTGGGTTGTCTAGAGCCTTTTTCTCTGCATTCCTGGCCTTGGCAGCAATTCTCAGTCCCAAGGCCCTTTTTGGGACTGGAGGACATATTTGAAAAAAATCTTCCGGCGGATGTCAAATACTCTCCTTAACATTCACACTGCTTTAGTTTTTTTTTTTTTTAAGTTAAAAAATGTTGAATTACTAGGTGCTTTTAGGGAAACAGAGCCAAGAGCCTCAAGGGAAAGAGAGAAATCTGAAACAGCTCCAGTATAGGTAAGGTACAGCGGAGGGAGAAACCAACAATACTAATAATTTAGAAGTCTTGGTTGTGATCAGGGATGTTAAGTAGCCTAGTGAGAGTTTCTAATATAAACCCAATCCTGGCTGAGATGAAAGTCCTGAGGCCTTAAGAAGGTGGCATTTAAGCTGAGAGTTTGCTGATGGGCAAAATGGAGCAGGGAACCTGTGCCGAGTCACTTGAGGTAGTGAGAAATGGTGCTCAGATCTGTCAGACTTAACCTGAACAGCCAAGAGAAGCCAGCAGAATGCTTCTGAACAGGACACAGCCATGACTGTGATTATCTGCAAACAAGTTGGGGACTTGAGAGTGGAGTGAGAAAGACTAGGCTGTAGTTCAGTGGTGGAGCACTTGCCTTCCATGTAGGAGGCCCTGGGTTCAGTGGAGGCTGGGAGTAGAAGGAGGAGGAGGCCACCTGAAGGGTACAGGAGTAGATGTTGGAAGACAGCACTAGGGGGCAGTAAAGATGGAGAAAGCCAGTGCATCTAAAACCTATTATAGGATCCCTCATGGGAGGTAACAAGGAGAACATGACAGTGATGACTGTAAGCTGCAGGGAGTTGTTTCTTAAGTCTTCGGGGGTTTATGTCAGTTGAGGAACGAGGAAAATGCCTGAAGGTCTTTGGCAGCAAGCTCTGTGTTGGAGAATAGAGTTGGAAGGGAAATGAAGGGCATTTGGGGTGAGCTGTGGAGGGAGTGGGGTGCAGGCTGATGCTTCTCAGATCTGCGTCCTGAGGGGTTTGACAGACGGGGAGATTAGTCACACCTCCGTGCACCCATGGGCAGCATTCCTAAGTCTTGACTCTGAGTTAAACACCTGGCGTTTTTCTTTTCTGTATTGTCACAGTGGGAAGCTTTCAGCCTTCCAGAACTGCAGAATTTCTTGCGCATCTTGGACAAGGAGGAAGATGAGCAGCTGCAGAACCTGAAGAGGTGCTATACAGCCTACAGACATAAGCTGGAAGAAGCCCTGGGCGAGGCCTGGAAGCCTGGCTAGTGTGCAGGCACCCTGCCAGGAAGGCGTGGCGTGGGACCTCTGTATAAAGAGCAGCAAGTGCCTTTCTGCTCGGAGAGCTGTCTTCTTGCCCAAACCCTAGGGTCATCCCCTTTTGTCTCTAGAGTTAGTTCCCAACCCCCCAGCCACAGGCATCCTGCACCCGTGTGCCCCGCGTGAGGGGCCCTGCAAGCTTGTTCTGTTACAGCACCGCGGTATTACCTCTTGCAAGCTGTGAACCTGCAATCATCAGGAGCATCCTGGAGTGCTTGGAAGCATGAACTCTGGGTTGATTTTTCTTTATTTTCTTCTAGTTATTTTAATTATGTAATGGTTAAGCTTAAGGATGTGCAAACAAGTTTTTAAAAACTTAACAAGGTGAAACTAAAACTACCTTTTGGTTTTTTTTTCTGTCAGGGGAAACCATTCATTTGAAGGGCAGAGGAATCCAGGAACTGCGGGGAATTTGGGAAGGATGTTGGAGGAGTTGGATTTAAAAAAGTAACGAGCAAGTTTAGAAGAAGGCTGTGTAGAAGTGAAAGCTCTGAGGGCCACTGAGGAAGGTGGTTAGGTGGGTACAGTGGTAGTGGTGGAGCCAAGTGTGTGGCTTGAAAGTGAGGTAGAAGCGTTCAGTGTTGAGATATTAAGCCCATTCTAGGATTGCTTGATTTCCTGTTGGGTATAACATGGAGACGGAGCCAAAGAGGTAGGAACTAAACCCAAGAAGGACCCATGAACTGTGCAGTTGACTGTAGAACGAGGCAGGTGGAAGTGGGCGCTGTACAGCTGGATGTGGCCCCCCGCATGTGAGACCCCAATTGTGCCCTCTTGGAGTGGAAGTCTAACTGCTGTAGCAGCTCTAACTAGCAGTGGCTGACTCCTAAAATTGTGTGGATTTCCCCACAGAGGTTGTTTTCCAAGTTGAAAATGAGTTTAGGGTAGGGCAGCTGTTCCTCATTAGCTAGGAAGTTACCAACTGCAGAGCTCACTGCGAATGTGTGACAATCACTTCCTCCCTTTTTATTCTACCCTTTCTTTTCCTTCCCCTTTTTCTTCTTTCCCTCCCTCTTTCCTTAACTCTGTCCCCCTGCTTTTCCCTTTCTAAGTTATAGTTTGTTCTCACATAATGTTGAATAGGGATTTTTTAAAGACTCAGTACTCCCATGTCACCCTCAGTTCTAAAGGACTTCACTGCAAAGAGGGGCCCCAAGGAAAGAGGAAAGTCCACACCCACTGACCCGGCAACAGGTGTTCATCATGGAACTATTGTTCCTTCCAACCAAAGAAATGCATATGCAATAAAAAGCCTTAAAGACAGGCTAAATAAACCTCATTTTCTGTAGCGACTTATAAACCTGAGAACGTGGAGAAAGATGTGCTGTGGTTCCAGAGGGGCCTTACAGTCAGTCTGGTTTTAGTCTAGATTTTTGTTTGTTTATAAATTCCCAAGGAATTGTTAACACTTTGTTGACACCTAATGGATTCTTTGTGAAATTCCAAGGTGCTTTGGTTCTTTGCTTAAAAGTGAACTGTGCCTTTTATTGTATTTCTGTTTCCTCTTGGTGGCTCTTCTAACTTTTTAGAGAATACCTATCTTGTTGGAGGCAGAGTTAAGTGTTGGTTGTGCTGTGCCACACAAGCTGCCGAGACAATCAGATCTTCCTAGGCTTTTAAGAAAAGGGTGGCGGGTGGGTGGGTAGAACTAGCTATAAAATATGTATGGCACATCTTGTTTAATTTTGCATGTGACTTCTTTTTAGTGCATCAATGAGGTTTTAGTGACATTGTCATCCAACACTTTACCTTTATTGTTCAGGGAATGTCTTCATGATTTTTATACTAGTTTTACTATTCATACTATAGCTTGGGTTTGAGTATACTGTTATCAACCACCTGGTCTTCTAATTACTTGTCCCAGTAAACTTATAGTTTGTGAAGTATTTGTTTCTCAGATTAAGACACTGTTAGAACCTGAAGTAGTAGCTGATGGGTATCTGTGAAAAAAAAATTTTTTTTTTTTTTTTACTTGAAGTAGATTGTCTAGAAGAGGCATCATCTGTATTTATCCAGAACCTCACTCACTGTCATGTGCACTACAAGTTGCAATTTGGAAACTTTACTGTATTGAAATCTTGTCAGTTCATAGTTCTTGAAGACTGATGTTCTTTACCAAACACTGGTTACTGCAGCAGCATTTTTAGTGTGTGAAATGGAGGAAAACGGCCCCTAAGGCCAAAGGTGTTTTATTAAAAAATCATTGTACAAATCCTTGTGTTAAATTAAAACTAAGCTTTGCTGTAATACTGTTTTCTCTTCAAAATGTGATGGTACAGGAAAGGTGTTAAATGAAGGGGTAGTATTACAGGGGAGCATTTTAAATTGCAGAGGTTGAAAAGTTATAATATTTATAATTTTGATGTTTTATTTTTATAGGGAAGATTTTCTCCCCTAAAATTATTTCTTGAATGGCAAAATGATTTCCATTATTAAAAGTTGAAGTTGTTAGTTGATGTTGGTGTGTTTTTATTTATCATAATATACTAGATTTTTAAAAAGGGTTAACAGGAGTGGAATCTACCTACTTTGCAGATGCCCAGGGACACATGCTGGAATGCAGTAACTGATATAAGGTTTGGAATGGGGCACATTGGTCTCCCAAATGTCATTTTTTCCTTTTCCTTCTTCTCCGGGGGAAAATTAACCCGAAGTGCATGTCTGCCCATACAGTACAAGTATAGTCTTATACAAGTGAACTGTGCATACATTCCGAAGTGCACAAGGCAAATGAACACTGTAAAAGATACCGTGAAGCACATAGCCTGTGACCACTAACAAAGGAGAGTCTTGCCAGTCCCTCAGTAACCCTTTCCCTCTGCCCCTATTCTTCTGCAAAGATCTTCAGCCCTTGAGACCAACTTACAGGATGAGATGCAGAGTGAGAACCTGAGGCCTCTGGTCTACGCCCTGGGTGTGCTTTCTAGGGTTCTGCCTCTACACCCGCTGTGGGGAAGTGTTTTCAGTATTACACTGCCCCCTAGAGAGAGAGACTGAGGAGAAACATTTTAAGTACTAGTGCTGCTTAGGTGTAGATACTGTGATAGAGAGTAATGGCTCTAGATAGTTTTTCTTTTTTGCTGAAATAGCTAGAGGAGTCCATTTTGGGAAATCAGCCTAGGTTACAACCCAGGGTGCAGGGATGTATTTTGAAATTTTAATTCCTTAAAGAGAATTAGGTTCCTGCTCTGGGATTATTTTCAGAATTTGTTGTCAGTTGGTAACTTAAGTAAATACTAAGTTGTAAAAATATAGAATTGTTGTATATTTTATGTATATTTTCGTGTTCGTACACAGTTCCTGGCTCATAACTCCTTCCCTAAAGCAAGCCATAGAAACTAGAGTTTCTTATCTCCAAGTCTCTTTATAGGAAGTCTTATTATTCTTTCTGTCTTGGAGCTGACCATAAAGAAATTACTGTGGGTGGGGGTGGTAGAATACTTGCCTAGCATGTGTAAGGCCCTGGGTTCCATCCCTAGCACAGGAGAGGAGAGGGCTACTGCCCTGGAAAGAAGGAACACTGCACAGCAAGGCCAGGAAGAATCTAGACAGCCCTTGCTCTGGCTAATTTAGCCTTGCAGTCTTAGCATTTTTTATTCACGTTTCTCCGTGGTTGTCCTTGTTTATGCAATCAAGTATGGAGAGCTTCCAGCTGTCTGAAGATGAGAGGTTCCCAGAGGGTGTTGTTCCCAGGGAGGGCATACAAGCTCTGTGCTCCTTCCCTCATCTGTAACATCTTAAAATAGTAACCATAAGTATGTGTTCCCTTGAGCCATTCTGGTAAGTTCATGGAACACAAGACGAGGGTTGAGGGAACCTTGACTCAGTCCATGGCTCAGAAGGACAGGTGAAGTACCCTGGGATTGACACCGAAGGGGCAAGCAGTCCTGGAGACAGCTCTCCACCTGCCGGGTCTGACACCAACTCCAGGTAGGCGGTGTCACAATTTACTGGGGATGGAAGACGCTCAGCTGGTGCCCACTGCAGAAGCGATTGCTAGCTGATAGGGAGAAGTCCCCACACCTTTTGGGAGTCACTCCTGTCATGTGGAAGAAACTGACTTTGTTTTATTTAACAACTCAATTATATACGTGCTGCATTTCAGATGCTGTCAGATGATCCTCATTAGGTATTTTGTTTTGGAGGAGAAAACCTGATGGCCAGTACTGCCCATGTGCCAGGCATTATTCTAAAAGCTTCACCTGGATGAACTCATTTGCTCCCCGTGAGGTAGTTAGGATCTCCATTTTACAGGTGGGGGAAAGGTGATGTTCAGCAACTTGCCCTGGGGACTGAGTGGTTGAGCTGGGAACGGCCCACTTTCTCCATCTTGCTTTTAAGTCCTGCGAAATTGTATCAGTTCAACTGCTTATTCAAGAAGCCTCTTGGTTGCCTCTCATAGACGTTTCATCAGTGAGCAGGCGTGCAGATGGGTTTTGTTTGATGTCAGTGCTTTCCCATCTCTCTTTGCTTCATTTATCTTCCCATTTAGGGGATTTACTAAGTTACATAGAATAACCCACTGGCCTGTGTATCTTTGTAGAGAGGCCTGTTGCCCTGGAGGAACCGACAGGTCAGCGAACCAAACTCCGTGTTCTCACTGTGCTTGGTAAGTCAGTTCCCCAGAGCCACCAGAACAGCTCAGGGAGTCGTCAGAGGAGTCACCAAAATTGCCATGGTTTGACTCTAGTAACTCTCCCCCAAGCCAGGGTCATCTGCCAGGGAATGTAGAAAGGAAGTATTCCAGGTAACTGTTTGCATAATTAAGTGTGCAAGAAAAGCTCTGGAAGGGTAAAGGGGCTGGGGAGTAAGGGTCGGTCAAGCCTGGGAGGGCAGGAGGTGGTGGTGAGTTACTACCAGGTAAATGTATTGGTCCCATCTGTTGGGCTGGGGTTAGGTTTCGCTTGTTGGTTTCATTTTGTTTTCCTTTTTTTGGCAACTTTTTCCAGTTCATTCTAGAAGGTGAGAGTTTTAGGGTCTTGATCCGAAATAGTAGTTTCCAAAAGCCACGTTTGATTCTCCTATGTTTGGCTGGGGCAGGGCTCAATGGCAGCTGAATTTTCTTCCTGATTTAGTTCCTCTCCCAGTTTCTGAGAAAGGTTAGTATTTAGAATTTTAAAATGTGTACACACAAAGAGCAAAACAGGATTGTGTAAACCTCAAAAGAAGTTGTGATTGGGCTTTGTTTTGGGAAAGGAGCTTTTTTTGTTTTTTAGTGGTACTGGGGATTGAGCCCAGGGAGGGACACTGGGCTATATCCACAGCCCTTTTTATTTAATCTTGAAACAAGGTCCTGCTAAATTGCGTAGGCTGGCCTCAGACTTGTGATCCTCCCAAGTACCTAGGATTACAGGCATATGCTATCTGGCTAGACAGGAAGTTATTTTAACTAGGAGAGTTGTATTTTTCCTTCTGTACAAGGAGTCTTGGTTATAGTGCACATTGGTCATCAGGTATGTGTAAATCTGTTTTCTTGACAAGCATGCTTCCTTCACTTAACCACCATTATAGATGTGTGTGGTCGGTGAAGCCCTGTGTGGTTCCTTTCCCTCAAGTGGGATTCTGCTCTAGAAGGATTTCCCATATACAGGTGCTATGCTATGCTTAAATTCTAGGACTCAGCCAGGCACAGTAGTGGGTATCTGATCCCAGTTACTTGGAAAGCTGAGTCAGGAGGATCACTAGTTCAGGGTCAACTTGAGCAAGTTATTAGATCCTGTTTCAAAAAATAAATGCTTGGGCTAGGTATGGTGGCGCATGCTTGTAATCCCAGCACTCCGGAGGCTGAGGCAGGAGGATTGCTGTGAGTTTGAGACCAGCCTGGGCTACCTAGTAAGTTCCAGGTCAGTCTCAACTACATAGTGAGACCCTGTCACAAAAAAAAAAA